GATTAAAAAAAAGCAGCACGTAAAAGACCTTTAGATTAAATTGATTTAATAAAATATCAATGCCAGGCGAACATATCGTGTAAATCTTACCTGTCATTAAAGATGTATTTGAAATAAAAATATTTAACGGCCTACATACATCTCACCGACATCGCCGCTTAAATCGGATCAAATTGAATTAAGTCAGCCTATCGTTACATCAATTACATGCCAGAGAAATGATAAATCTTAACGTTAAATAAATCGAAGCGTAATGAACGAAAAGCGAGTACTTTGAGGCAACTTTTCCAGCGGAACTGTTAAAGCAGTATTTATTGTTGCATTACAGGACCCTTGTTAACGTGGCCAGTGCAGATAGGAAGGCTTAACAGTGACTTATCGATTCGATTACATCTACCAGTACGTATACTACAGGGTGCTATAACCGGTAGACTGTATTTTAGATTGACTATAAGTCTCTGTCCCAAAAACATAAAAATTAAGACACTTAATCCTCACTTTCAAAATTTAATAGCTACAAAATCCTGGAATTTTTCTCTCTCGGTTTGGTAAAAATTTGCTTTAAGAAAAAGACATCAGCAAAATTCACGATATTAACGGACTCGTAAAAATGTCTAGAAACTCGTAAGATGATTCGGGTAAATCGTGAGGAGAAATCCTGAACCTAGTCGAAATTCCTGGCGAATCGAAATACAAAGAAAGGATCTCATTTGTCTCGGGATCAAGGATGTCGATATCGCATTCATGAGAGGGAAAGGCTGAAAGGGTATTCCAGGATATCCCGGGCTATCCTCCGTATCCTGGTTAATATTTTATGGATAAAGTCTATGCGTCTTCGCGAGTCGTTATCATTCTGATACCATCTCGTGGAATGCCAAGGCCCTTTTTCCGTGCGTAGAAAAAAAAAATAAATCTACGGTATTCCTAAATTTTTACGTAAAGGTGATTAGCATTACGATCGGAGTGTAAAAGCGTGTCGTCTCGGACAAGATCTATTCTGGTCGGTGTTAGGCAGTGCTAAGGATGGACAGAAGAAGGTGGACCGTTTTAGGCTTTCTTGTGTTATTTTTGGACCTCGAGAAACGACTTAGATTATCCTAGAAGGCATCGTCCAAATGTCAGGTGGACATTTCGATGCTGGGAAGGACCTCCCTAATATTCCTTCTTCGAAGATAAACATTTCACGCGCGAAACCCGAAACTTCACTCTTCTCGAAGCCTTATTCTTTCGAGGGGAAAACCGAAACCAGCGAAAGGGGTTTTGAGGGGAGATAGGACGTCTTATCAGGTGTTAGTAAGGATGCTCCTGAGACAGGCAGGATCGTGAGTGTCACGTCGAGATAAAAATTGAAAAGAGCGCCCAGCCCCATCTAATCGAGAAGTTCCATACATACCATTGCTACCGAACGATCTTAAAAATGTCTGCACCGTGACAGATAATATCATTAGAGGAAGTAATTATCCCACAAATTAATTAAATCTCCATTCAAAGTCTTCCCTAACGATAAGGCCATTGGCGTGATGCGGTCAGGACTACAACTTCAAAACCTCGAAGCAAAGTTAGTACATCCGTGAACGTAAGGACACCTCGAAATGATCCCAAGCCGACCTAAATAGTTGAATTCCACTATAAAAGGCCATTGCTATCGAACAATCCTATGCATTCACATTCCACGACGCGACATTACCAGAAAGCAGAATATACCAGAAGATAATTGTTCCGCAAATTGATGAAATCGCTCTTTGAAGTTTCCTCTGGAAGGTAAGGCGATATCGCACGATAGTCGCTATTGCTTCAAAACCTCGAAACGACCGAATTTAGTACATCTGTGTGTACGTGAAGACACCCTTTAAGCATCCCCCAAGCCGAATTACAAAGTTGGCCCCAGCTAATGTCCCCAAGTTTGCGGTTGAACCACGAGGGAGCATGAAACCCGGAACGGCGCCATACATACGTAAAAAAAGGTCCATTTTTAGAAGTCCTGCCGATATCTCCACTTAGGGAGACTAAATACCGACCCAAATCGAGGGCGCCCCGACCCGAGGACAAATATTCAGAATATTTCCCCTGCTGATAAATATTTCATCGATACCGAGCGATAACACCTCGGTGAACCGATCTAGCGTTTTCGAATAGAATTTCTTACCGATTTCATGGCTCGAGGCAAAAGATTGTAAGGGACAGAAACGATACCAGGGAAGCCCTGAAGCAATTTCAGAACTCTCGAGGTATTTTCGGAGACGCCGAAAACAATGGCCTTCCAGAACCGAATCCCTGAATCGAAGGTTGTCCGTCGTCTCGATATCGGCACTGATAACACCGGAACGGCCCTTCGCTCACGCGATTCCGCGATTTGTCCTGAAGAAAAAGAGAGGAAAACAAAGCCACGGTCTTTTCTGGCGCTATCGACAATTGCCGATCTTAAGAGGTGAACGCTCGCATGAGAGAGCGAAATCTCGTCTTGAGGACCTAAGCCTCTTAACCGTTTGAGTCCTAGGGGGTATTGAAAAAACACTGTCGAAGAATCCCGAACAGCGCAACCGCGCTTTCTCTAAATGAGTACGAGAAGACCCAAACAGCGCGATAGCGCTTTGTTTATTTTATGTCGATGGATCCCACTCGGCGCGATAGCGTTTCTTGAATTGTAAGATGTATTATTTACACCCTTGCGTTACGATTTAAATTCCAATAGCGCGTGCCATAAACAACAAAAGTGTCGATCATACATCGGCCCATTTCACGGTTTGGCTGAACGTAACTTCTCACACGGTTTGTTTACATTTGGCCCGATTCACATACCACGTCTCTCACACGTTTTGTTTACGTTTGGCCCGATTGATTTACCATGTCTCTCACACGATATTGTTAGTTAAGAGGTTAAAAGAAGGAGCTGTGTAATGTACTTGGGTCAGTGAATCTGAGCGACTTTGACAATCGGTGATGCACCGTCAGTTGTCCACAACGCTCGAAATGTGCTGGGTTTTCTCGACATAAAATCTGAACAGCGCGATCGCCCTGCCTGGGACTCAAACGGTTAAGAAAGCGCGTAGAAAAAAAAAAATTATAAAATAAAAAAAAATAATCCGCACTCTCCTCGAGTACTCCTTTTATACTCAATTAAAATGTCGACTTTAAAGAGCCCCATCTCGTTATATATTATTGGATCTCCCCTCAAGGCGCGCCCTTAAGGAAACGCTTTCGCGTTAATCACGTTCCTGATAAACCTCGCTAGGTCCATTACTCCCAAATTTTTCGATAATCCTTACAGATTCAATTTTGATAAAATTTCACGTTATAACGTCACATGTAAGGGTGCTTTCTTTAGGGTTATTCCTAGGAGAGGATTAAATGAAAGGCTTAATTTATTATTTACCCACGGTCGCCTCGATCGATCATCTCGAGACGGATCGATCTCGATCCTCGCTCGTTCTGATCGACTCGCGATTTTGCGGACTCCTCGAATGAGCTTGAAACTACGAACGAGGTGTCATGTTCTAAGATTTCAGCGAACAAGACCACGAGGAAAGAAAATGTTGTATCTCGGCACCAACTCGATCGCCAACCGGTTCCATCGGCAAGAGTTGTCTCAAGGTAAAGTCCGAAATTGTTTCCAAACCTGCGATCGGTTATTCAGGAATCTTAACGGACCTGGTTCCTGCTTTTACGGGATCATTAGCATACCCGCGAACTCGAGCCGTACGAGATAATTATCAGCGCCCCATCGGAAAGTTTTCGCTCTTATCACGAATACGCTCGAATTTATTAAGGACCCTGTTGCAGCGGCGTCCTTGAAGATGCACCGTGTATCTCAAAGGAAAGGCTCGAGATAATTCACTCGACTGCGCTTCAAACGTTTCGGCTTCTGCACTTTTTGACTACTTAAAGATAACATTCTAGATTGGGAAAAAAAAAAAATGGAAATCATGACAAACCAGCTCCAAGATTTTTCTCTCCGCTGCGGACACACTTTGAATTCCTTAACCGATATGAAAATCCTGCGTTATAGTGTTGTTAATGACGGAACATTTTTTTTTTACGATTTTATTAAAATGTGTTTCATGGTAAATAGATATAAGGGAGAAAAACGTCCTTCACGGTCATCGTCTATAGGCAACTATGTCGAGCTTGCGCACTACAATCGCTTGGACGTGTGAAATAACGATTTAATAACCCGATTATCACCGAGCAAGTAGTAATATTAACGTAATGACTGGTACGCATTGTCGTTAATTTTTTGCCCGCGATTACTTTTGACCTCACGTCCCATAATCTAAAAGGCGGGACAAAAAGGGGGAAATCTCGAATGTCTCGTATTACTTGAGTCATCGCGTTGTAGAATCATCGGGAAATATTAATAACCCCCACCCTGAAGTCTCGATTAACAGGAAAACACTGCCACCAACTTCTTGTCATCCAAACCCGACGTTCCCCTTAGAATTCATGCGAGTACTGAATCGAATCGAATAAATAATTACATCTTACGACCGCCCGCCCACAATATCATTAAATAACGACATACTCGTACGTCCAACTCGTTTTTATTCCAGAAAATTACAGAGCACGGCAGATAATATCCACGATAAATGCCCTGCTATTGGTTCGCATCTCATGTCCACAAAAAAAAGGGGGGAGTGGGGGGTAAAAACATCCTGACACCATGAAGAAGACGCAGGACCTACCCATGTGCTTACACCTCCGCTATTTTTACATCCTGTAAAATTGTCCGTCCGGGAGGTAAACTAAAGATAACTCCCTCTAGACCACGAGATATAAAAATAAACCCCGGAAACCTGAGTCATCGAGTCATCAGACTTCTTCTGGTGTCCAAATGTTTGTACGTGAAATCGCAGTCAATTCTTCTCTGTCAAGTGTTTTAACGGGAGGGAATAATAAATGGTCCAAATCCTAATGGTCCGAAATACATAACGAAGGTGAGGATATAAAATGAAGAACGGAAAAAGGCCCTTATCGCGTTATCGGCTTATCGGAATAGGACTCACCCAGCATCCTGATGACGTTCCTCTGGGCTGCGCACTTCCTTCTGCTGTACTCGCTGTGGTTAAGACTATTGTTGACGGAGTTCCTCTTGACAGCCGTCAGCAGTTTTGATTTCCTAAGCTTGATGCCGATGAGGACATAGAGGACCGTGATGATGGTCATGGGCACGGCGAAGAAGAGCAAGGTCGAGGTCTCGAAGGCATGGGCCAGGATCTCCCATTTGACGGTGCACCTTGCGCTGTCTTCTATGGCAGTCCCATTCCTGTCATAGTTGTAGACCACCCCAAACTGGATAGCTTGAGGGATGGCGAGACACAGGGCTAGCAGCCATATGGCAACTACGAATTTGACAGCCCTCGACAACTTCGACATGGTATGCGAGATGAAGGGGTGGCAAATGGCCACGTATCTGCAAGGAACGCCGACATTGCTCCATTACTACAATGCCGTTAACTCCATGGGGGAAAGTGCAGAAGGTGGCGGAACTAGAGGAATTACCGCGTGTAGGGGAAATCTAGAACTACGGGGAGAACATCAAGGAATTAATTGTCCGCCCCCTGCGAAGGGGAATAAACATTTCTCCATGCGTTTCCTCGCATTGCCTCCCGCGTGAAATTGCACGTTAAATCCACCCGCGGTATGTGGACGAGTTTCCAACGATTATCTCCCACCCGCCCCCGAGATAGTTAAAAAATGTATCTCTGCAAATTTTTCGAACGCGGTATTTCCCCCCCCCCCCCCTAACATTGTATCCTGTCCTCGCGTGTCGGAATAAATCCGGGGAAAACATTCCCCGTTTCGACAATGGTGATATTTTGCTCAGCGGAATTTGGAGCCGTCAAACAAATCGTTCGCTTGGAAACTTGATAGGTCGCGAATCAATGCGAAATCTGTCAGGTGTTCCTGTACTCGGGAAAAATAGCTGGGGTCGAATATTTCCCTCGGAAGGGTGATAAAACATGCTTATTTTATACCTTTCCACCGTGAACGCCGTGATGGTGAGGACCGTCGCGTTCGCCGAGGTCTCCGCTGCGAATCCTTGGATGATGCAGAAGACCTCGCCAAACACGTAGGGGAAATGCGACCAGATGTAGTACATCTCGGGGGGCAATCCAGAGATCAGTAGAAGTAGATCGGAGATGGCCAGACTGAAGAGATAGTAATTAGTTGCGGTGTGCATCGACCGATTGCGAGCTATCACGACGCACGTGGAGACGTTCCCGATGACTCCGGTGAAGAAGATGGCCACGTAAATGATGGTGACTGGTAAAACCACGTACAAGGAGTCTCTCCTCGAGGCTTCCTCGGTCTTCAGGTATTCCGTGACGGCGTGAGAAACGTTTAGCTGAGCTTGCAGTCTGCCTTCTTTCAGAAAGTCCACAGGTAAACTCCTGGTGGAGAACTCTTCGCCCAGGCCGAGTTCCGGACTCTGGGCGAGGAGGTTCGACAAACTCTCGTTGATCATCCTCGACAATGGTTTTTAGACCTTCAAGCAATCTTGGTAAATCCTCGCCCACTCATCGCCACGTGGTACTATTTTGTTCTTTTTTATCTTGGGGGTTGGGAATATTTTTCACAGAGTCCAACCAAGCATTTGCTGACCAAAGTGACCAGGGTGGGCTGGTTCCTTGAACAGTGCCAACAGACTGTAAATGTCAACGGTCTGCAATCAAGCGATGGTTGGAACAATCGGCTTTAATGGAGTTGTTTCAGAGAATCGTGTTCCGACGAAACTCCGAATGAGGGAAATGTTATTCGAGAAATTCTGACCAATGGCCGGGACGAGGCTTGCCGTTGCGATTTTACTGGCACGGTGTCACCAGGCCAACTAATCGACGGAACTTAGCTACTCCGGCAGCTACTTTAACTACACGAGGAGCGGTCAAGACCCTCTAACTCGATTACTTTCAATTTGGCCGAATTAAAGTCGAGGAGCAAGGTCGACTCTGGATCGGTGTTGGAAGGGGTGATCACCTTCGGCGAGGCCCAGAGAAATATCGATGACAGTCTAAAGGGTGACAGATCGCTGTCACGGAGATGAGCTGCCAATTCGATTGGACACCTCGACTTGGTCGCGAATCACTTGGCAGTCTTTGGAGAACGCGACGCTTTCTCTGAATTCCGATGCGCGATTTGAATTTTCAAAACGGGAGTCCCGTTTTCTTGGGGAAGCTTTCACGTGTCGAAGATTCCGACAGTGATCTTTGGTGCAGATTCTATTTTTTTACCAGCCTTATCCAAGTAACACAGCTGTGACTTTTCGATTTTCAGGAATGCATGAGGTGTGCACGACCGTAGAATCGTCCCGTGCTCGAATTTGGATCAATCTTGACTTTTTCGTTTTTTGTTCTCGTGTCAACAAAATCGAATTGAAGTCTTTCGAGACAATGGCCGTGAGTCGGGAAATCTTGAGGAGACGTAACTCGATGACTTAAGAGCTCTCAGGGAGGCTGGACATCGGAATCTCCCCAGTGTGCTTCCACCCTCGACAAACTTCTCTAATCTTTTCCACTTCTGCGCACACAATCTCAGCGAATGTTTGACGGTTCCTCAACTGTCATTGAGCGATTCCTCGAAACTTGCCACTTTCTGTATTTCCACCCTTTAGTACATACACACCCCCGGAAAATGTCCCGAGATTTTTCAACCGTCGGTCCGCGTTACCAAGACGAACTTCCCCGAAGTAATTCCACGCTTGAAACCTCCCCCAAACTTCCCCAAGGTTTTTCAACCCTTAATGCAAACCCACCCTAAGTTTCCCCATCGATTTCCGAATTCATTAGGCAACTCCATAACTCTCCCAATCTGCCCTGTCGTAGGTTACTCTTCGGGGTCCGAAACTTTCCGGAAGTCGATATGTAAATGGTTATTACACTTGTCAAAGTAGTCACGTCAGGGTCGATTACTGCAACGACCCCCTCGCCGGCCTGAACTTTCTCGGTTTTGCCCCCCAAAATCGAAGTCGCACTTTTCGCGTTCCACTTATCAGCCCTCGACGTCCTAGCGATATTTACCATCCTCGGGTCGAACCTCCTCGACGTCGTTCAATTAATTTCAAAATTCTTCTTATCTTTGGTTCCAATATCCTCAAAATTCCCGACGCTCGTTACTTCCTCCAAGTACTCTGCTGGTCAACTTTTCGATTACTGCCACTAACTTTTTTAATTCCCCCAAGCCTGACATCAACATTGTCAGCATATATGACACCTTCAACATTGCCGATCGTCCGACTCCAAGCTTTAATCTCGCCGCCCCTTATCGCCCTAGTCACACGATCTGTCAAACGTGAACATCAATGTCGTCGCTAAGTAGTAAAAAACCCTCAAGGTTCACACGTGGCCCTAACGACATAATCATCCCCCTGGACCGATCATCTCGTCCTTCTTATCTCATACGAACATTACAACCGCGTCCTTTCGGATTACCCTCACTTCCGGTACTTCCAGATCCTTGGGACTTGAGACCAAAGAGCCAAACTGGAACCGTTTTCCAAATCCAACTTGGAATTATCTCGCGCACTTATCACCCTGCAATCTCGACTCCTCGATTAGAGTCGACTTCGGGTCCAAATCCAGCATCCTCGTCACCCTCGAATTTCATACAGATTTTCCCAGGTCCTAATTCGTCCATCGATCCTCGTTCTTCCTTCACCTGTCTCTCTCCCTCCTCGTTATCACTGCACTCGTCTCGGTGTTAAGCGGTCGAATGCCAGCGCTAATTTTCCGCTGGTCTCGTCCTTGATACCGCGAAGCGCATCCACTTGATCCGATTGACACTTTGACCGGCTCCGATCGAATCGCTCGCCGGTTCTCATAGGTGCCCTCTTGGAGTCTATTGTTCCTAGGATCGCGCGAACGACCTCTGGCCCCGTCTTCCGTGGACGCCACGCGGCCTTCTTCAAGGACGGCGCCGACTTCTTCGCCCTCTTCGCCCCAGAGACTCTCAGGTGGAAGATCGTGCGGACGCGCCTAAGCGGCGACTGTCGTCGCGACGCTTCGATAGAGTCGCCAGCGCGACTCCACGCGCTCTCTTACGAGAGACAGGAGTGGGATCGACTACAACTCCGGCTCTTTTCTTGCTCTTTTCTTGGGCCGAGTCCGGGTTCCAAGAGAGAGGAGGAACGACCGGTTCGGAAGGGTTCGCCGTCGCGACGCCGAGACCTCCTCTCGGTCACCCGTGACTCGTACTCTCGTTTCGGGGAGATGACAACACTCCTTGTCTTTCGTCTAAGGCAGGCCTCTTGACAGGAGGAGATGCAACAATTGTCGCTTTGTTTCCAGGAGACTCGTCAACAGACTTTGAACGGAACCTTTAGGGAATGAGATCCGATCAGCTGATGCTTCCTTCCTAGGATATCCACCAGCTTCCTAATGTCGAGATTCAACGTCGAGGTTGGATTTTCTCTGGATCTCGCTTGATCCTTAGGATTTCCTGAGGTGTTCCAGAAAGAAGGTGGATGATGAATTGGGAACCGGGAGACGAGATCCGATCAGCTGATGCGATTAAGGCGGAGGTCCAAAGATGAGATACAACGTCGAGGTTGGATGTCCCGTGGATCTTCCTTAATCTTGACGATTTATCGAGAAGATTTCAAGACAGGGACCTTAAACCTGAATTTGGATTTATCGAGATGAACACCAACGCCCAGCATCAAGGTCCAGCAGAGTGCGACTTGGATATGGGGACGCCTAGAAAAAAAAAGAGTCAAAACAATGATCTTCGAGGTATCAACCTTGTGTCATCGACTGACACGTAATGTCGTATTGTTCGTCTCTCGGGATCCTTGGATTCCTGATCCTAGTCCACGATAAACACAGAGATTCCCGGCTAATTGATTCGATCATTATCTCGACGTAACTCCTGTGGAAGTAATTTTTACGACGTCGTTCGCCACCCAGAATTAGAACACTTCGAGCCAACGGAGACACAAACGAGCAAAAATGAGGCGGTGGAAAATAAATTGCGACCTCAGAGACAAGGAGGTTACGATTAGGTAGAGGAGATAAGGAGAGCCTTATCGTCGCGAAAGGACCAAATGTCGATTTACAGGGCATCAACCGATCGCTCAATGACTCGATCGGCCGTCTTTTTGAGGCGATCCTTGATCCTCGATCCTGATCCTAGACAAATAGGAATTCCCCGGCTAATTCCGTCGATCGCTATCGAGGAATTATTAGAGATCACGAGGCGTAATTCGATCTCCTGAAAGATCGGATCGCAACCAGAGACCGCGAAGGCCGCGAGATCCTTAATGATTTGTGCATATGGAAGATTCCGCCCTCGATCGTTTACGACGTGTATATAGGCTCTGTGGTTTTTGCAAATCGCAGATCCTGCGATTGTCAATTTAATAACTCTGTCAACGACGTATGGAGACGTTCATTACCGCGAGCATTAATTATCCGATTACGATATGCCGGAGTGGGCATTCATTTTACGTCCAGGCGCTTTGCGATCTCTTTAATAATCCTTTAAATAATGGCAAACGTTAACTCGAGGGTGTAGTTAACAAATCCCATTGACGAAACTCATATCGAGAGCTTGCCACAAATCCAGACAAAATGATGCTCGGACTTTTTTTTTCACATCTTAGTAATATGAAATTTCTACGTATATTATTATAGATATCAACAAAAAATGCTGAAGACCTTGTTACTCCCAATATCACACATAAATAAATCTTCCTCTTCGATATCTATCGACTATCCCGATTGCCTTGAACTGTGTGGCTCTCGTTTCTTCTGTGAAATTCCCCGGGATCCAGGAAAACGACGATTTCCCAGATGATTAATTAAAAGTCACGTTCGTACGCTTTTTTTTTTGGATCGTTTAGATAATATTTAACTGCTCGAAAGTGTAGCTTGGTTACGAGGGAATTTTACTTTCAGAACATCTGTATCGTAAACTGCAGTTAATAATCCGAGAGATTGTCTCTGGTCCTGTGCGCATTTTCTTTCCTTCTTTTTCTACTCGTCTGATAAGCCGGATTGGTGCACTCGTAAAAGTCGCTCCGCGTTTGCACTCGGTACAGAAACTCAGCGAAGTAATGAAAATTCATGGAAAAAATGCCCAATTAAATAAATGACGACGTCAGGGAATTATAAATATCACGATTTGGAAAGATGAATAATTTTTACCTTTCGTGAGGTCCAGCTGTTCTCTGATGAGGTCGACTATCGTTTCAAGTATCACCCGATAATCCTTAGGTTATTTTCCCTCTTCCCTTGCATATGAAGCTCCTCTTCTCGTAAAAAGGAGAATTATTGCACCGTCTGTTGGAATTTCTCACTCGCATGCGGCGTCTACTTTTGAAACACCTCGCGTCCCTTCGGAATAGTAAATCCCCAGGATGCAGCTTCCTTAAAGTCTACTTTGCACTAAATTCCCACTCCTGGAAGCGTTTCCAAACTTTCCAGCTCCCATTTTAAAGGCGAGGAGTTAAAGAAGTGATTAATTAATTAAGCCTCCGAAAGTTTCCTGCAACCGCATTCACACCTCGTTAGAGTTCCCCGAATCCTGGCCGGATTCCAGAATCAGGATCGGCAATTCCGCCCCCGAAAATAGGATTTCTTGCTCGAACTTCCCTCCTCTTTCTCTATCTTCTCGTCCAGATATAATCCTGCAAAGGTGCAGCTGATCCTCCCGACTCTTTCTAATGAATTGCAGATGAGCTCTGCAATTTCCGATTAAAAAATGAATGTCACCTAACGAGGACCTCGAAACTTTCGTTGCTTTACACCTTCAAGTATCCTCGGGTGTTGATACTTGTTACGAACTGTAATGACACATTCTCGGCAACAAAGTGTCTTCTATTCGGGAAATAATCCTTCGACGACGCAGCATCCCAGCAAATTGTCTCCTCGTCGAGGAATCTCATCCCACCTGGCATTGCCGGTTTGCAGTGCACCTGTTGCGTGTCTCTCAATTTTCTATCCGATGCATTTCCCTTGTTCGCATCGATCTTCCTCCGCAGAGATCACTCCGTAAATCCGCGCTCTTAATCTTCTTTATTGATTTCTTCTTTAAAATTAAGACCTCCTGGCTGACTCACCTGTTGCTCGCCGAGGTCCTCGGGATTCCTCGCTCTTTTCCCCACAAGGGATAGAGATTTATAGGAAGTCCTTCAGGGACGAAGGACCGACATGGAGGAGAGACCCGACGGGGCTTGAGGGCTGTTTCGATTTGGCGATCGCGTCCCGACGCCCTCCGACGCGACGCGTGTTGTGCATTCGCGGGGTGGGAGTTTCGCGCCAGCGCACAGAGGGCCAACAATCGTGTGATAAGGGAGATGAAAGGGAACGTATCCTCTTCTTTTTCCCTTTTTTCCGAGACCTTCGTTATCTCTCTTTGATGAATTATTTTCGGACGGGCAACCGAGCTTGATTTTCAAAATCTTTTCCAAATTTAATCGAGCTTCAAATATAAAGATGACGGAAATTGAGTAATTATCACTCGACGTCATATGAATGTGCACGAAAAATATAAATGTTCCTCTTAAACAAACAGATTTACATTTTCATTACTTTGCAACTATTATTGATCGCGACTACCTACGTGGGAATATGCTGAATTTCCAGATTGCATATGCAAATTGCAAACTTATGACATGATGACATTGAGTAAAAATTACCAAATTTCTTTTAAGGATAATGCCACTTTGGGCAGAAAAATAAGCGACGTTGTTAATCAAGAAATTATCTGAGGTCAAGGAAAATGCTGCAATGAATTATTGCAGTTTGTCTTCCCCTGGCTAAGTGGCCAGTGATAAAGAGGAAAAAGCAGTGGAATAGCTTTCCTACTCATCCTTTCCTGTTCGACTCGTTAATTATCTCGCTTTTAATTCATTCTCTGAGAAAACTTTTTCCAACGTTAAACTCAAAGTGTTTCTTTACGTAACAATACGTTCGCCATTTCGAGCGAACATCCCCTTTTCTTTTGTTGCCACTTAAAGATACTACTAAGAATATTAATTATGGGGCATCCTTCCTAAACCCTGTGTCGAGTATATGGGGGGTATAAAAAAAACTCCACGGGATCTCGGAGGAATTATACAAAGAATAGGAAGCGCGATGACGTATGACGTACTTTTCGGAGCTTTCTCTGGGCGCCACGAGGCCGACCCTCGTATTTTCCGATGGTATTCGCGAATAAGATTTTTCCAAAGCTACAATTAATCTTGGAAGACTTTCCCAGCTGGTGTTGACACTTGGGGTAAAAGCCGCGTGTCATGCGACTTCCATCCCCGACTACGTTGACGTCCGTGACAGGACTCCCCAGGAAACGGAAGTCTCCTTTTTTCCTCGGTGAAATTGTATCAAGTTGCAGGCTCCACGTGTTAAATTTCGCCGCCAGTCGTCCTCGCCTTATTTTCTTCCTTTTTCCTTCTTTCTGCCTTAACCTTTCACGCCACAATGTTTCACGAAAGGAACTTTCTGCACGAATGATTTTGATTCTCCGCAAAATCGACGCAACAGAACTCTATGGAAACGCAAACCTCAACCTCAAGCTCCGGTTTACTCCTAGTATCCAATTAGGTAAGTTTAATTTTGTTTAACCATGTCTCTCAAATTTTACACGGACAAAATGCTCCTGCTCGACGCCGTGATTAGTTTGCAACCGGGGAACCGCATGCACCCTAAATGACACCCTTTGACACATTTGCCAAAGGATGTAAAGAACGCTCCCTTCCTCTGCAATCGCCACGTATATTTTCTTGCATAATAAATGTTAATATTCCAGGTGAGCGTTGATTATTCGCTGATCAAAATGTCAAGTTCACATGTAAGCCAGAATGAGGCCGAATTCGCGAGTAAAGTCCACGCCGGACGGGAAAGGAATCGTGGAAATGGGTCGCAGTAAAACGACAGACTTGCAAATTCGCCATTCCGCATCGGAAAGATCGAGCACGATCATTCCTCAGCGGAAACCCAATATCTATCAACCGGGACCGAGGATCTTGGTCGGAATCTTTTGCATACCGAGCTCC